ATAGTCAGCATCTATTGGCAAATTCAATGCAGTTGTGTACATGCCTTTGTCCATAGGCACAATTTTTTATCTCCAGTGTGCTTTTTGGAAATATTGTTACAAGAATTGGGACAGTGGGTATTTTGCTGTCCAATGACCCACATTTATTTACTTATTTTTTTAAATGAGTATTTATTTTTGATTATCTTTTTATATGTATTTTTAATTTTTTACATCATTGTTCATTTTCAAACAATATTTGTTTCCCCCCACCCCCTCAGGTGTAGTCCCTGTAGAGTTTCCTTCCCCAATGCACCCGTGCACCATCACCTCAGTCCCTTGTGGTCCTCCCTCCCTCCCTCTGATCCCTCTCCCTCCTCCTCCCCTGCAGGATGTCTCTGCTTTATAATTGTCCATTTTTGCTTTGTTGTGTTTTGTACTGTTATTATTTTTTTACACTGATGTCTTTATTGGGTTCCCCTATATTTCTGCTGTAAGTGAAACCATCCGATATTTTTCTTTTTCCTTCTGGCTTATTTCATTGAGCATAATCCCTTCTAGTTCCATCCACGTTGCTGAGAATGGCATGAGTTTATCTTTTTTGATTGCTGAGTAATATTCCATTGTGTATATGTACCCACATCTTCTTGATCCAGTCAGGTGCAGGTGTTCTTTTGAATCAGTGTTTTTGTGTCAATGGCCCACATTTAAATCCTGACTTAGTCACTTGCTGACTTGGTGACTGTGGGCCAATCAATGTCCTTTCTATGCCTGTCTTTCCTCATTGGATATAGGACATAAATCCTGCTTTTAAGTGAGTTAATATTCCAAGGTGCTGACACAGTACCTGGCCCATAATGGGTACTTATCTAAATGCTTTTTAAATAAAAACAAAAAGTCCTTCTCTGTGGTTTTGAGTGAATGCTTAGATAGTTTAGTTCATCAGAACATTAAATTATCTACTTTTTATTATGTGGAATTGGTAATAGACTCTGAATCATTTTAGTATATCTTATAGCTTTATTTAAGTAAATGTGGAATGCCTTACACTGATGATTTCTAACTTATTGAAAAATTGAAAGAATAGTATAAATAACTGCCATGTACTCAATTTACCTGGATTTGCCAATTGTTTATATTTTCTCATTTTTTTCATTCATTCACTCTGTCCTTTGTTTCTACTTTCCCCCTACCCTCCTTCCTTTCCATTCCTTTCTCCTAACACTCCCAGGGTCATTTGAAAGTAACTTGGAGAGATTTACTTACCTCTTTATTCCTATAGTTCAGACTGTATATTGTAATAATAAGGAAATTACTTTTCTTAACTACATGTAATGAGCAAAATCAGGAAATTTAATGTCGATCCCGCACTAATTTATCAACAGACTATTTTTAGAGATTGCTAATTAGTCCCAGAATTGTCCTTTATAGCTGTGTGTATGTGTACATGTGTATTTGTGTGTATGTGTGTGTACACGCGCACATGTGTTTGCATGCAATTCCTTCTGAAAGTGACTGCATTTTTCCTGGGCCAAGATTCAATGCAGGATTATAAGTGCATTTAGTTGCCATGTGTATCTTCTTTATTGGGAGCAATTCCTCAGTTTTTTTTTGTCTTTCATGACCTTGGAACATTTTTAGAATACAGAGCAATTGTATTGCAGAGTTACATTGCCTCTCAAATTTGAGTTAGTATGATTTTTCCTCATGATTTTGATCCAGATTTCAGGTAACATTGTCTTCTGACTTTGAAGGAAACTCTGGTATTTCATTATTGTAGCTTTTTAGGTTGAAAAGATAAGACAAAAGTGACACTGTAAGATTTGACCTGTGTGGAGTGAGGTTAGTGTACCAAAACTGATACGAGATATTTCGAGAGTGCTTCTCTACTCCAAGCCACTGCTGCATGAGTTCGATCCCCCGGCCAGGGAACTGACCCATATGGCGCAGCAGACCTCTCTTGTCTCACCCACTGCTCCCCTCAGCAGCATATTTCAGTCAATCCACTGTTCTGCTCCCCATTCTGTCTCTGGTGAATCCTCTCACCTCCTTCTCCTCTGGCCTACACTCCAGTTCTTATATGCATAAATAAATAAAATAAATAAAAAGTAGTGAAGACAAGTTGATCAAGAAAAAAGAAAGACATGACCTTCCTTGTTTCTTGATAAGCAATCAAGTGTAGGCAGTATTCAGTATAACTGGAAAACAAAATGCTAGTGGTGTCTTATGCCTGGAAACCCCAGAGTTTCTTGGTACTGGGAAATGAAAGTGGGCATTCTGCTTTTTTGTCATAAGGGAGTGACTATCTCCACATAATGTCAACACCTGAAGTGAAAAATGAAAAAATGACTTTTGCCTCCAAATGCTGGGTCTTTTCAGTTCATTCTGAAAATCGCTGGACACAAAATTTTTTTCTTTGTAGTTTAGATATGGATGATATCTGTCATCATCGCTAACAAACTCAATGAACAAGTGGCTTTTGAAGCAGACAGCTAGAAAGGACTGTTATTGTTGAGAACAACAAAGAAATGAAATGACTGGAAGTAAATACTTGTGGTATTACGCACAAAATTATTGATGGTCTTTTGTGTACACAAGTTTAGAAGGGACAAGAAAGAGTTAACCTTTTTAAGCAAGTGCCTAGGGTACTCTCTGAGAAATCTGACTGAATGAGTTACTGCTCAGCCTAAAATTAAACCCCTGACTCCTTGTCTGGCATATGGACTATTAGATCACATTTCTTTTCACTGATGGATCCATTTTTTTAAATGAATTGAAAATAGAATCCCCAGTGGTTCCTTTTGTGTGAAGGACGCAAGATAAATATTAGCTAGGAAAGGTCATATTCGTTTCCAATATGTGGGGAGTTTATTATGATGGTTCCTGATAAATTATACTGTGTTTTTCTTTCGATAACAGAAGGTCATAAGCCCTTGGGTGAACCTCAGGACAAACACGCTTAATAAAGTTGGAAGATCTGGGAGATGAACATTTTCCAGTGTATTTTTTAGTAACTCATATTTACAGTTATTCAAAGCCACTTCCCTCTTGTTGAGTTAATCACTTTAGTCCAAGTGTGTCTCTTACAGCCCCAAAGGGGTGGCTCTTCAAGACTGTCACCTAAAGTTGTCTCTAAGCAAGTTGCGTAGTTACCTCTGGGGCATCCAAAGAGAGAAACCTGAGTGTGCTTGGTGGCGGGTTGACCACGGGTTCAACAGATTCCCAGAGTAATTAGACTGTGTCTCAAGGACCATTATTCTATCATGTTTCGTTTTTAATATTTTGGATGCAGATCATTATTCTTCTCTGATACTTAGCTAAGTTAAAAACAGTGTATTTTCATGTTGCAGTTTTTTTTTTTCTTATGATTTTTAGTTTGGAATCATCTGAGTCCTCATTAAAAATGTTTTCACTAAGTAGAATGACTCTTTTAGGTCTGCACATTGAAGGGAGATTTTGAGTGTCCATTATAAAATCACCAAGTGTTCTTTGTAGTTTTGTATGGTGTATTATCTTGGAAACACTTTTGCCATCTGCCTCTCATTGCCATTTTTAGAAAAACGGGCTTGCAGATTGTTTAGTATCCTTTCAGCTTTAAACCACACAATTGCCATGTCTTTATGTCTTGCAAAGATCATTAAGAATGATCTTCATACTGACTTTTTATATTGCTCTGCAAGCTTAGGCAAGTTTCATCAATGGTTCATCTCCAGTTTCCATTTTTGTCCCCTGGTCAATGAATTGGGAGAGTGAAATTATGTATCATGAATGGTTTTTCACCTTATGTCAAATTTTGAAGTCTTTGCTGCTGAGGGAACTTCTACTTTAAAACTATATTGAAACTGTGGAGAGATAGCATTCACCCTTGTTAGAATGGCCACCATCCAAATGAAAAGAATTCACACTGGTGCAGTCATGGAGAAAAGGTAGCCCTATGCGTTGTTGGTGGGAAGGTAAGTTGGTACAGCCACTAATAAAAACAGTATGGAGGCTCCTCAAAAAAATTAAAAATAGAACTGCCATATGATCCAGCAGTTCCACTTGAGGGACTATATCCAAAGGAAATGAAAACAGTAACTCAAAAGTATAGGTCTGCACTCCCATGTTGATCGCAGAAATATTTACCACAGCCAAGTCATGGAAACAAACTGTCTATTAGTGAATGAACACAAACACACACAAACACACACACACTCTCATACACACACACAGAGGAATATTTAGTCATAAAAAACAAAATTCAGTCATTTTTGTCAGTGTGGTCGAAACTTGAGGGCATTATGCTAAGTGAAATAAGGTTTAGGGAGAAAAACAAATACTGTATATCACTTATGTATGGTATCCTAAAAAACAATGACTAGACAAAGGGAATAGACTTGTGGTCAAGATGTTGGTGGTTGCAGGATGGGGGGAATTGGAGGAAGGTTGTCCAAAGGTAAAATTTTCAGTTACAAGTATTTGGGATGTAATGTACAACATAGTGACAAAAACAGACGTTGCTATATAACATGTAGGAAAGCTGTTACGAGAGTAAATCCCCAGAGTTCTCATCACAAGGAGAAAAAATGTTTTCCTTCTTCCTTTTCTTTCTTTTTGTGTTTCTATGAGAAAATGGTATTAGTTGAAACTGTTGTAATAATCATTTTAACCCTTTGCATTCCGAACCATTCTGGACATTGGCTACCAATGTCCCCTGAGAGGGGACAGCGGAGTGCAAAGGGTTAAAATACTTTAAGTCAGACTCATCCTGTACACCTCATGTTGTGACATATGTCAACTATTTTGCCACAAAATTGGAAAAAAACTTATATTTAGTTAAATAGTATGTGAGTAGCCATTGAGTACAGAATTCTGTGTCCCTCCCCCAAACATGATGGGACACTTGACAAGAATGGATCTGACTGCTCCCCCCTACCCGAAACTGCAGGCATCTATTGTAAAATGCCATTATTTTGCTCCTGGAAATCTGTTTTGTTTCAACATTAAAATTCTAATGGCTTTTTTGGTTTGTTTTTCAATAGATCATCCAATTTAAAATAGTTTTCTGGAACTGCAGAAATGATTGGTCCTAACTCCAAATGGGAATTTGCATTCATTCTGAAATACAACCTGGAGTAATTGTGTTCGACTGAAACCAAGTCTTATGACGTCTCCAAGGTAAGAGGACTTTAACACCTACCTAAAGATGATGTTTACAAAGCATAGAGAATTGAGCAAAACTGAGTATCCTAGAGTCAATGACCTTTGATAAAAGACTTCTTTTATATTACATTTTTGGGAATTTAGTAATCATAGTTTTTAAAACGTTAACTTTCCTTTTTCAAATGATTTCAGTTTATAGAGCAGTGTTTTATCTCTTCAGTAGGTTAACAGGTGAGATTTTAAACATGAATCAATTTTGTTTTCCATTTAGATAAAAATGTTCAGTGTAGCAGAAATTGAAGTTAAAATATCATAGTAGATGGTAGAAGGTCAGAAATCTTTTTACTGGAGGTCTGGATTATTGAATGAGCTAAGGAATTATTGCTTAATAACTTCCCACTCACCCCAGGCCTTTATCCAGGGACTCATAGTTACTCTTAAGTAAATACTTGCTTAGCGCTGGGAACCTGTTGCAACTTTCCGTGTACCTGGTATATAGAGATGTCCATGAAGAAGGAGACGGATCAGGCATTGGGAGTATCCTTGAAACTTTTGATTTGGGGTTTGTTGTTGGAATCCAGCAGGAAAACAGAAACCATTCTGATTGTGTGGAACAGGGGAAAGTTGAAGTCAGGAAACTGGTCACACACTTCATGGGAGTGTCAGAGAGGCCCCACAGCAGAAGTGCAGGCAGCGCAGTGATGAGCCTGTGCAGGAAGTTAACTGGCCTGGGCTGGAAGTAGTGCTGGTTGCGCCCACAGGGAGCAGGAACCATGGTGGGTGCTTCTGCTAGTAACTGGTGTCATGGAAGAGACATGGCCACTCCATGGATCCTGCTCAAGGCAGAGAAGTTGGGGAGACCTATCTTTTCTCACTCCCCTCCGGTCTCTGACCAGTGTCTTCTTTTGGTTAAATACAGGCAGGAGTCAGCTCTCCAGGGCTGTAGTCAGCAGAAGTCACCCAGGGCAACACAAGTCTGACTGTCTGAAACCTCTTCCTGTGACATTTAGATGAGCAGGGCATGAGCTCTTTATACCTCACACGATGGCTTCTCTTGAGGGCGACTCTCATAACCCCACAAAGTAAATGAGAGACTGGAATCTTTCATTTGAAAATGAACACGGGTGGGTGCTCAAATGCACTACCTGAGTCTTATTTCCTCATCTGGTAGGAGTGCTACAGATCAAAGCTTTCAGCTGTCAACTCATTCTGAGACTTGTCCCTCACTCAAAGAGCCACCCTCTTCTCAGGAGCAGCTCTTAGCCAATGATGATCAATTTGGGAATATAAAGCACTGGCCTCTCACCCCACCTTGGGACCATTGAGAAGGGTTATCTCAACTCTGGAACTCTCCTGGGGGTATCTGAGGCCTTTCTCCTTCTGCCCTGCCTTTCTCCTTCCCTCCCGTGGGTACTGATCATAAGAGGAACCCTTAATTAGTAACCTCCTGCTCACCAACTTCCATCTCAGTTGGCTTTTCAGGGACCCCAACTTGTGACTCATATCTTCTCAGATATGCTCTGCGAGTTTGGCAAAACCCACCCTGACAGGTCTGGGTATATAGAGACTAACAACAGAGGATCCAAAATTATGTGGGACAAATCTTACCTGAAAGATTTAGTCTGAAGTTAAGAGATTCTAAATTGGTTAAGACATGGTTCCAGGCAGGAAAATGAACCCACTAAGCAGGAAAAGATGCCCAGTAATGCCCAGTGGATGAGTAGAAGCTGGCAGAGATGTGGGCATCTGGAAATTGAATTAAGAAAGGAAGGTGGGGCCTCCCTGGTGGCACAAGGAGTTAAGTCTCAGCACTATGAAGCTATCAGCAGCCACTGCAGCACCAGTTTGATCCCCCGCCAGCGCCAGCGAGCTAACTCATGTGGCAGAGCAGACCTCTCCTGGCTAATAGTCCTGTCTCCTCTGTCTAACACTCCTCTCAGCAGTGTTAGATCCACCTTTTCTGCTCCCCATTCTGTCTCTGGTAAATCTTCCCTCCCTCCCCCCACCTCTGGCCTACACCCCAGCTCTTGTATGCATAAATAAATAAAATAAACCTTTAAAAAAAAGAATAGGAAGGTGGATTTCAGAGCTGGGTTGAGTTGGGAGGCTTTTTAACAAGGGGAGGGAGCGTCTCATAGCTGATATTCTCAGAAATGTCCACATCCCACAGAGTGCATGGTGGCTACATAGTCGGATCAAGGAGATAACTGCTCAGAAGCCCCCTTTGGGATCCCAGGGGAATGTGGATGAAAGGCAAGGACAGCAAAAGAAGATGCTTCTACCTTTGTAGAATGCTTTCCTTGGTGTCTGTTTTCAGTGATATAAATCTTGAAATTAACTTCTATCTAGAAACTTCTATCTAGATGCTCTCTCCCCTCATTAAAAAGCCTCCCTACTCAACCCAGCTCTGAAATCCACATTCCTATTCTTTTTTTAAAGGTTTATTTTATTTATTTATTTATGCATACAAGAGCTGAGGTGTAGGCAAAGGTGTGGTTTTGGATTCCCAGATGGACTGTTGTAAACCACTCATATTGGTACACTTGACTGAAATGGATTTTTTGCCCCCCCCCTTTTTTTTTTAAAGATTTATTTATGGATACAAAAACTGGGGTATAGGCCAGAGGTGTGGGGATTGAGAGGATTCACCAGAGACAGAGTGGGGAGCAGAATGAGCAGATCTACTGAAATACACTGCTGAGGGGAGCAGCAGGCGAGACAGGAGAGGTCTGCTGTGTCATGTGGGTCAGCTCCTGATAGGGTCATAGTGCTGCACTTAATCTCTTGCACCACCAGGGATGCCCCGTTTGCCCATTTTTGGTAGACATATTCTAAGGTCGTCCCTAAGATTCACACCCTCTCATGCACCCATCCTGTTATCATCTCCTGTCCTGGAGTGTGGGCCGGTTTAGGAATATGAGGGGTTCACTCCTGTGATTAGACTGGTTTTATGGTACAAGACTGCAAACGAATGTGTTCTGTTTGTTTTGCACTGTGTTTTTAGACAAAACATGAAATTCATTGCCAACATCTGAAGTGTGTAGTCAGAATGCTTGAAAAATTGATTCTGCCTTCCCTGTTCTACACATTTCTGCACTGCAGCGCCATGCTGGTATGGTGGCAGTGCCCCCAGACAGGTCTCCAAAATCCCTACCTTTCCCAAATGTTAGCCTCTTTTTTGAGGCTTTTTTGAGCCTCTGAGCTTTTGACCCTGAAATAAGAGAGAGAAGCCTTTTTAACAATCAGATCAGTAAATGATATTGGGGTTAACAACTGGAATTTTAAACATTTCATGTGGGACAAAGTATCCTATTAAGAATTTGGCAACTAAGGTATTTTGAAACTCCATGCTCTCCTTTGTTAACAAATTAATCAATTTCCTAGAATCATGACATAATTAAGTAACAGCATCCAGGCTCACATAGGCTTACCTATGTGTCCTTTGTTGCCTTTCAAACTATAGTTCTTTGGGTTTTTATTTCCTCAGCACATGTGTGAGGTGGGGGAGACAGAGGTAAGCTTTGAGAAACCAAAGCAATGCAGGCTGTTCAAAGCAGAGAGACTGGATGTTTCCATGTCCATTTAGAATGCTTGGGATTTCCAAGACCAAGGGCTAAAAGAGGCCAATGCTTGTGTTGCATTTAACCCCAAGTTCTTCAAAGATGGTCTTGGAACCTTGCCCTGGCCTCATAGTTTTCAATGAGCCCCATGACACCTTTTCTACAAGATCTACTTGACCGAATTGTGAGCAGCTAAGACAGGACTGGAGGCAGATCCTGATCCTTGGGTGTGATGTAGGCGCTGGGGAGGCTGCAGTGCCTTCTTGCCCATCTGGAATCAGAGTTCTGGAAGAGCAGCAACAGGCCGTACCTTCCCCTAGGACCTCAACAGGGGCTTTGCATTGAGTGTTAAGATCCAGCCCCAGGCGTTTTACATTTGGTACATAAGGGGATTCTTCTGATTCACAGTGGTAGATCTTATCATTTTGGACACCACGAGGCACCTGCCAGGCAGAACCTAGTATCACTGGACTTTCAAATGTCATCTTCTCATGTTCACTTGAAAAGTTACTTTAAACAAAGGAGTGAACAAAAAAGTTAATCAAGTCTGATCTAATTTCCTCTACTATCATAAAAGTCAGGAAATTAGGGAGGAAGGCATTTTTGGTATTTTCCTTTTATTTACTACTCTTTTGGGTTTGTTTTAGAATAGATTGCACAGTCTCAGTTGTGAGCCTAATGGTCTATGAGCCATCTGATACTCGCCATCTGTAGAAAGTTAAGTTGACTTTCCCCCTAGCTTTTTTGAGATATAATTGACACATAACGTTGTAAGAGTTTAAGGTGTAGAAGGAATTGATTTGCCATGTTTATAAATTGCAAGGTGCCTTTGCCCATAGATTAGCTCCCACTTCCGTCCTGTCACACAGGTAGCACTTTTTTTTGTGGTGGGCACGTTGACAAATCTCTCTTGGCAGCCATCAAACATATGATGCAGTGTCACTAGCTATAATCATCCTGTATATTACATCCCTAAACTTGGTAATCTTTGAATGGAAAGTTGTTCCCTTTGACCAACATCTCCCTATTTTCCCACCCCAAACCCTGATAACTACCACTTGACTTTCTGTCTTTGTGATTTTGGCTTTTTCAGATTCCACATATAAGTGAATCCATGTGTTCTTTGTCTTTCCTGGAGTTATTTCACTTGGCAGCATTCCCTCAAGCTCCAGCCACATTGTTGCAAGTGACAGTTTCCTTCTTTTTCATTGTTGACTAATATTCCATTGATACAGTATACATGTACATATCACATAGTCTTAATCAATTCATCTGTTGATAGCCACGTGATATTAGTTTTATATTTACCTGCACTTGCCCATATTCCCATCAAACTATGAGATTGGCGAATAAAGTAGGAGGCTGGCCTTCTAGCCAGAGGGTCTGAACATACAATCACAAGAGAAAGCTTTCAGGGAAAGTGTGCAGAATTTCTGTGCAGAGACCACACGTCTTTTATTGGAATCTAGCTCTAAGTGTGCTTGTAGCTTTTTAAATTTCACCACGTGAAGTAATATGAGACCCCTCTGTTCTATTAGGACAGCTCAAGGCACACCTTGGCCATTTATAAATGGACTTCTCACCAAGGCATGTTGCTGACTTGGAATACATTAAAAAAAAATTAAAAAATATGCATATAAGAACTGGGGTACAGGCCAGAGTTGTGGGGGGTGAGAGGATTCACCAGAGATAGTAGGGAGCAGAACAGGCAGACTGATTGAAATACACTGCTGAGGGGAGCAGCGGGGGAGGCAGAGGTTTGCTGTGCCATGTGGGTCACCTCCTTGGCCGGGGATCAAACTCATGCTGCAGTGGCTGTTGATTGTTGAGACTTAACCCCTTGTGTCATCAGGGAGGCCCATGACTTGGAAAAAACTTTATTTTAAAAGGTGTTTATTGAAAATTGAGTTAATGTGCAGTGCAAATAAGGTTTGATTGGCTTCTATTTCCTTGGGGGGAAAGGAGTCCAAGCATGTTTGGCTGCTCTTTCCCAATTCTCAGGATCATGTTGGCTGACAGGCCATTTCCCCTCCCACCCCCCGCCCCAGCCCTCGCTGACTGGCACCCTGTTTTTTCTCCAGGATGAGAGTCTATGCTAAGTCAGTGTTGCTGTCGCACTGGCTCTTTCTGGCCTACATGTTAATGGTGTGCTGTAAGCTGATGTCTGCCTCGAGCCAACACCTCCGGGGACACACAGGTAAGTCCTTTAAGCTCATTATGTGCCACTGAGATCAATTAATAAACCCTTTCAAACGTCAGAGTCCACATTTTAGACAGGTAAATTTACAAGCGCATTTGATGGTGTGTAATAACCAGAAGAAGCACGACATGGAGTAAACTAGTTAAGTGGTTTGATGCTTAGAGTGTTGTCCTGAACATTCTTTGGGCTTTTTATTTCTTTTTCTGTCCTGAGTAGACGTCTATTTTTGAAATGATTTTTCACAAGGAATCCTGCAAACTCAACAGCATTCTATTAGTTGTGTGTGTGTATGTGTATGTATACACACACGTGCATATACATACATACATGCATATATCTCTGCAATTTCCTCTGAAGATAGAATATCTTCACTGATAAAACTGAAACAAACATTCGCAGTGATGTGATGGGTAGCATGCAGATAATTTAAAACCCTTTTAAGAGGCGTGGAGAAAAGACAATGAGTGTCTTGAAAAAAAAAAAAAAGAAAGTAAGTGGTGTTGACTTTTGCATGGGACTTAACATGGAATGTGTCTGAAGTTTTTGAGAACCATTCGCTAATTTCTAGTGAGACCTGTGCCTATTTTGCTTATTTCTAAAGAAAGATGAAAACACCTAATCATCTTTCTGTGTGCGTGTTTATCTCCTCTTTCCTTGTTATAACTACACTTAAAGTCACACAGAGTTGGAAACTCCCCAATGAATTGTGTTTTCCCAAATAATTCATATTTGTCAGTGGGCTCACTGCTGGACCATTTACTGCCTCAGCTTTGGTAATTCAAGGCGTGGCAATGCCAGGCATGCTTTGACTCCGTAGGGAAGTGGTGCAGCTTGAACCCTAAACCATCTGTGTGTCAGAATTGTAAATTCTGTCTCCCAAAGGTCTTGTGTGCATTTTATTAGATATCCTTACCCCCAGACATATAGCAGGTCATGCTTGCCACTCAATTATTCTGATATTTTAAGGGTAAGATATAATTTTAGGCTTAGATGAATTTTAAAACCCCTCATAACTCAATTTTCCCTCCTCTAGTGACAGTTTCAAGAAGAAGAGCAAGATGATTGAAATTTTAATGACTTAGCATTAAATCAATACCATTTGGCTACCATGAAATGCCACAACTAGTTAACTGGTTATTGCACCCTATAGCTTTTGATGAGCTTGTTCTTGAGGATAGAGTGCTTGAAATCATTAGTTTTATCCTTTTATTACACAGCCCTCTTCTTGGGTGGAAATTGAGAGCCAGGCTAGTTAACAGGCAAAGCATTTCAGTGGGGTGGGTTATTACCACCAAATTTCTAGGTTTTCCAAAGCAAGGCTTGAGGAATTGTCCTGGAAAGTAAGTAAAACTTGAAGGAAACAGGACATGACTGAACCTTCAATTCTTTTTTTTTTTTTTTAAAGGCATGGTTTATTTATTTATTTATTTGTTTGTTTGTTTGTTTATACATGCACTGGGTACAGTCAGAAGCATGGGAGGGTGAGAGAATTCGCCAGAGCGGGGAGCAGAGCAGGCAGAAGGACCGAAGTACACTGCTGAGGGGAGCAGCGGGTGGCAGGAGAGGTCTGCGGGCCATGTGGGATCCTCCTCTGGTGGCTGGGGAGCAGCCGGGGATCAAACCGGTGCCACAGAGGCCGCGGGCATTCACAACCCAGCACTCAACTGCTGCGCCTCCGGGGAGGCCCTGAACCTTCAATTCTTATCTGTGTGGCGAACTTCATTTCCTGCCATGAATAAACTTTTGCTTTTGGAAAAGATGGAACAGTAGGGATAAATCTCAATTAAGATTAGAATTGCATACACAAAAAAGTGTGGACAATATTTCCCACATAAGCAAAGACTTGACAGCAGTAGTGATAAGACGTCTGAGCAAAGTGTTAGTAAATTCTGCTGAAGAAAGGAAAATTTCATTCTAGAATTTCTGCATTTTTTACATAGGTTTTTAGCACTTGTCCTCTGGTGTTTGGGTTCCCTTTGGCTTTTGGGGTATTCCTCTTTGGAATTTAAATCCCTTTCACCCCACATCTTAGCCATCAAAGGGGTCAGGATGGTTTCTGCCTACAAGGGCTGTGTTCTCCCACTGAGGCTGCCTCCTGCCTGGATACCCAGGTTCACAAAAGGACGTGGGTCCAACAGTGAGGACCTTCCTTTACAATTTTCTTCAAATGTGTCCTTGGTCCCCCTGGAAGATAGTGGGAGCTAAATGAATATTAATAGGCTAATTAATTTTGTCCATTAGTCTCTATGTGAGCACCAGTTTTCTGCTGCTGGTAAAAATTTCCAAATAAGGCAGGTATGTATGAAAGATAACCCTGTTATCTTTTTGTTAGCTATTGTTTTAGTCAAGATTCTCCTGAAAAAGAGAACCCAATAGGACCCATTTATTTATTATGGCTTTATTATAAGAATTGACTCTCACAACTGTGGAGGTTGAGAAGTCTCATGATTTATAATCTGCAAGTTGGAGTCTCAGGAAAGCTATCAGCGTGGTTCAAAGGCCTGAGAGCCAGAGAGCTGAGGGTATAGATTCCAGCTCCTGTCTGAAGGCCTGAGAAGCAGGAGCACAGAGGGCAGAAGATCAATGCTGAACTCAGCAGTCTGGCAGAGACTGAATTCAACCTTCTTCTGCCTTTTATTCAATTCAGGTTCTCAATGGAGTGAGTGAGGCCCATTCAGATCAGGAGGGCCTCCTGCTTTGCTCAGCCCACTAATTCAATGCTGATCTCTTCTGGAAACACGCCCGTAGACACACCCATAAATAATGTTTAAACAGATATCTGGGCATCCCTGGCCTAGTCAGGCTGACACATAAAATTCACTCTCACCGCTGTCATTCTAGGACACAGGTGTGTGCCAGCATGTCTACATATATACAGATTTTTGTTCTTAGAGTGGAATTTAAGAATTCCCTTTGGGAACACAGAGATCCCTCTCCATAACACTCTGTTGTATGGATTTGCCATATATTATTTGATGACTCCTGACTTTGTGGACATATATAGCATAACTTGTTACCATAATTGTACAAATATATGTGTCCTAAGTTTAGGTCAATTCCTGGAACTGAAACTTCTGAATTAAAGTCCATGCAAATGTATTAATGAGAACAGGCTAATTGCTTTGCAGTGAGACCAAAGATGCATGATGACTCGCGTAAAACAAGTTTCATTTTTTGCTCTTAAGTCTGGCTGCTTCTGCAGAGAGCTTGCCGTGTGACTTGTGTGGGTAAATACGGCTGTATGGTCCACGTCCACTGCAGTCTTTCTAGGACCTGAGGGGCGGGAGCTCTGTCATTTAAAGTCTGTGACTTCCAAGGTTGTTCTGAAGTGGTCTCCATTCCAGCCAGCTGGAGCGGGAATGAATGTGGAGAGGAACTTCTGCACGGGCCTTGGGGTGGGTTCCATACTGGCACCGTGCTGCCATTGGTTAGGGCTTCAGCCCATGGCCATACCTGACCATGGGGACGGCCAGGAAGCATTCTGTAGCTATGGGAGAAAAGAGCACAAATTTTTATGAATTACCTGTATTGATGTTTTAATAGTGCCAAGGTGCCCTCACAACTTAGACTGACTTACGCTTTACATCTCCACCAATGGCAATAGTATGATAATGCCCATTGTCCATGCCCTCGCTTGTCAACTCTGCCAGCATGGCAGGGCATTCTCAAGTTTTACATTTTTGCCAATACAGCGATGAAAACTGATGTCTGGTCATTTTGACCAGCATTTCAGTTTGACTGGCATTTCATTTTGACTAAAGACTTATTATTTTAAAACGTCACTTTTATTGAAGCAACATTGGTTTACAACAATGTATATCTTTGAGGAATACTTGTCACACCTCTTCAGATATGTTACCACAGCATACCCACCACCATAATTCTCCACCACAGTCTATTAGGCCTCCTCCCCCCTAGGTTTTCCCATCCCTATCCCCCCACCCAGTCTTCCAGTTCAGCATAATCGTTATTATTGCGGTAACACTGCTTGACCGCTCGGTATCTCTTTCGGGGGAATCGGTTCACACCCCCTCAGATGTACATCACCCACCACACCCACCACCAGGGCACCCATATCCCTTTACTCTAGGCCAGTGGGGCCCCTCCCCTTTCTTCCCAAGACAGTGAAGGGCGCTGTAAAGTTTCGCTCATAACCTTCAGGATAAGGAAGTCTCTGAAAGCCCCTGGTACCTTCAGTGTCCTTGGCATTTTCTTGTGAGAACAGTGCTTAGCTGATGGAAAACTCAGAGGTCTGTGCCAGTTGGGGGCTGTGCACGGAGATGCTGAGACACCCCAGGCAATGCTAATTGCACTGTGGGTGTCTCTGAGGATGCCCCCCAGAGGGAGCAAATGGTCCATGCACTGCAGAAGACTGTGTCCGGGTGTCCAGAAGGGCTCTTGCTGCTGTCCCGAGGGCTTTGAGCTTAATGCTGGCCAATTAAAGAAACCTAGTTCCAGGAAACCCTAGTTAGAAGTTACTGGATGCTTTTAATGGCTCAGATTAGAAGCGTGGCTTGTTAATGGTTGTGATAAACAAGGATATATTTTATAACTCCTCTTTAAGATAGGGACAGAAGGGAAGAAGGTGGGATTCACCCCTAGTTTTGGGAGATTGGACTCTTAGGTGTGGATTGAAATTTCAGTTTTATTTTAAACATAAAATAAATTTACAAACCCACCTAGTTTTTACAGAATGAGTGGTGGGAATCTTTATTTAAGGCAAATGGTTTTGGTCAACTTCCTTAGTTTACCAAGTGCAGAGCTTATTGTTTTCAAAGAATTAGAAAACGCAAAAGACCACCTTTGTTTTTAATTCTCCTGTGATGGAGTTGGAACTTCAGTATCCTCAAGCCACAGAAAAGGTGAAGGGGTCAACTGTTAGGTACTATCCTTTCAAAAGTAAGCAAGAATTAACTCCACTAGCAGTTTGTCCTTTAATTCCCTCCCCCACCCCTTTTCTTCCCCTCCAGTAAGTAGTTGCTTTTCTTCCCACAAGA